TGTGGCACGAGGACGAGTGAACAGCCGCTTTCAACAATAACCTTACTGGCCTTCTTAGGGATGTTTACGAGGATGTCAAAAAGCCAGCACCAGAGCAAGCCCAAGGCACTGCCACACTTCGCAAGGCTAAGTAAACATCAACTTGGGCTATCAGGTGTGCAGGAATGAGGAGTGGTGCTACTTTCGAACACAGGAACCTGCTCATTGTTTGCCTGGCGCTGAAGCTTCCTGCTCCGGGCTGCCCGCCCCCTCTTCCCAAGAAGGCGCCTCATCTGGGGACCGGCAGAGGGCAGCAGCGCAAGCCCAGGACTAGCCTGGCGGGGTTCAGAGCAGCAGTCACTGGGCAGGAATCCCTACCCAGGAGGCAAAAGACAGGCTGCATCCATCTTGCCCAATTATGCAAATGAACTGACGAAGTAATGCCTAGGGTACATTTATAACTGAGATTAGCGACCAATGGGGACTCTCCTGCCATCAGGGCTTTCAACCATCCAGACAGGCTTAAGATGTCCCCCGGGCGTCAGCGTGCTGTGATCTGGAAGCTCCTGAGTGGCCATATGGGAAACCGAGCAGCCTGGCGACACTTAATTTGTATTTTGCGTCCCGACATCCAGACTGCCAGACCCCTCGAGCTCTCCAGGGGGAGGACTGTAATGAAACAGTTCCAAGTGGCACTTGAAGGAAATTATATTTACTTGAGGTGAATGGATGGGCCACCGTGAGGACTCTGTGCCAGGCCTCGCCTCTGGGTGAGGATGCAGCCCCAGTCCAGCCGGGTCCGGGACGCGACCTACCATCTGACAGCTCTGCGTTCTTAGACAGCTGCTCCAGCTCCCAGCCGAGGTGGGCCGACTCATTCATGCTCTGCTTCTGGGCAATCTCCAGGACCATGTTCTCTTCTAGCAGCTCCTCAATGCGCTTTTTATCTGTGTCACGGTCCTAGGGCAGGAGAGGGAAGGAGGATGTCAAAAAGCCAGCACCAGAACAAGCCCAAGGCACTGCCACACTTCGGGAATGAAGGAATGAAGTCGGGCCCCAGCCTGGGAGCTACTGCCAGCTGCTGAGGATGAAGGGACAGCACCTGCCTGCTCCTTTCCAGGCACAGAGCTGCACATGAGTGCACCACATGGGCCCCACTGTGACAGCGACAGCCATCAGATGGAACCTCAACCCGGCCACCTGCATTCCAGAGAGAACCACAAGTCTCTAACCGAATGTAGGGTCATCAAGGAGACACCCACACAGGGCTCTGGAGCAGGCACTTTGGTGACAGGCAGGTCTGCGGCTCTGCAGCAGGTCTTTGGGACCTCAAAAGCCCTGAAGAGCTATCCCCACACCGCCCACCAAGGAAACCCCAGCAGGGGTGCTCATCTTACAGAAAAGCCACGCAGAAGCCAGTTAGCTGCTTTGAGGTGTTAGATGCCCACTCAAGCTCACTGAGCTCAGCGGCTAGAAGATCAGAAGGCCTGGCCCACAGCCCACCCTGTGGTTGTGCACATGGCACCTGCGCAGCTGCCAATACCAGTTCCAGGTCGTGCAGCTTGGATTTCAGCTGTAGATTCTCCTTCTCCAGCTCGTGGACTTTGTCACCCCGCGCCCGGGCAGCAGTCAGCTGCTCCTCCAGCATGGCCTTGGTTTCGATTAAGATGATGTTGTCTTCTCTCAGCTCCTGAGGAGCAAAGGCAGAGAGGAGACCCTCAGGGAAAGGTGCGGGGCTCACGGCCACAGGATCCTCAACCCAGGGTTTTTCCAGATCCCGGGACCCAAACCTCCATCCAGGCCCAGGCCCGAGACAGGAAGCTCTGCCTCTACTTCTTACACCCTCACCTCTTCTCAGGAGGCAAAGACACAGGGGCTTTCTTTACTGAAGAACAAATCCAGAAATTGAGAAAACACTGAACTTGGGGAAAGGGGGCCAGGGTGTGGCTAACGCCTTGACACTGAGGACCTCACTCTGACAAGCGGACTCTGCTGACACAGTCAGGGCCTCTCCAGTCTACGTTTCCACAGCAAGCTGTGGGGAGGCCGAGCATCTACCAGGGGTCCCCAGGTCTGAATGTGCTCCTTTCCTGTCAGCATTCATCCCACTGATCAGGGTTCTGGAAAGAGTGGCCATTCAGGAGGCTTTCATGCAGCACACAGTTGCTATTTGAGCATGTTATGCACGCACCCTTGGTTGAACAAAAGTGCCCGGCAGTTCCTGGAAATGTCTTTACAGCAGTGAAGTTGGAGCACTGCAAGCCAAGCAAACGCAAGCCCCCGAGACCCATGTGGCTGAGGGGTCCACGGGTCGGTGGGTCACCTTTCTGCAGCCCTCATGGTGGACCCTCTCAGTTTCTTGCATCCTCTGAGCCCCAAAGTCCGTCCCACCCAGAGATTACCATACGGGAGGAGGCTGGGCATTCGTGCTTAAGCACCACACGCTCACATCTCTGCTCACGTCCCCAATGGGCCGGAATCCAAGACTCTCCGCGAAGGGGAAACCGCCTGCTTTCCAGTAAGCGGTCACAGTCTTGATCCACGCCTGGCAGCCAGGGACAGCTTGCTCTCCTTGTGCCCCTCCCTGTCCATCCCTGCAGTGGACAGCAGCCCTCCGGGACCCAGCGATAGCCACCTCCTTTGGACTGACATGGGTAAGTTGAAAATTGAGGCCAAAGCACAAACCTGCTTAGGGCCAAAGCTAAGCCTGCACTTGGGTCAGAGTGCTCAGACTGCATCCAGGGGACTCACATGGGCAGAAGAGGCCCAGACTACTACTAATGTCACTGAGCTGGACAACAATGAGGTTTCAAGCAGGCGCAAGGCCCAGCCATCCCTCTCCCATTGCTGCCTACCCTGTTCTCCCCAGCATCCCCAGCCTACCCACCACGAGCCAAGGCAACCACAGCACAGGCTGCCCCTTCATCCTCTTGGCCAGCTCCTATTCAGACTTCAAGAGCCAGCATGAGGTACCCCTCTGAGAAGCGCTTATGAATCAATGCCCTCCTAATGCTGAGCCAGGCATTTGACCTCCCACATTCCCTGGGCCTGCTCTGGAGCAGTGGTCATTGCCGGGCGTCTCTGACACTCCTCAGGACAGGACTTCCCCACTTCCCCTTTCATGAGCCTCACACACATGTTCAATGACATCTGTCGGCCAATCACACAGCAAGGGGGATACAGGGGTGGCTTACGAGGTGGGTTTTGAGGGACTTGGACACTTTCAACAGGCAGGGCTGGACAGATGCGTCAGGAGAGGGATGCAGCACCCAACAGAATGATTCCTAACTGCCATTCGACTCTTCCTCAGTTTCCCCGGGGTCCCAAACTCCAGTCAGGCAGCAGAAATAGCCGACCTTCACTGGGATCTTGGAGGTGAGAGCAGAGAGCAGAGCCTGCGCTCTACCGGGGTGGGAGTGCAGGAGGAGGAAGGCCAGTCCACGTCTCTGGGAAGGTACCCACAGCCACCTGCCCATCACGGCTGACCCCACGAGAAGTGGGAGGTGATTTAAAGTCACCCCAGCTTAAGCCATGTTTAGGAAATCACAGGCTGGCTTTGAGAGCCCATCCCCAGCAGCATATGTATATACATGTTTGTGTGTATGTGTTACTGAAGACTGAACACAGGCTCTCTGCACTGAGCTACATTAAGCTAAGTCCTGTCTCCCCCCCACCGCAACCCCCGGCACTGAGGATTGAACCCAGGACCTAATGCTTGCCAGCCTGGCGCTTCTGCCACTGAGCTATTTCCCCAGTCCTCAGTCTTTTTTGAGACAGGATCCTTCTAAGTCATGAAGGTGCCCAGGATCCCAGAGTGCTGAGATTGCAGGTGCACAGCACCACACCTGCCCGACAATCCACTTTTTAAATGTGCCCCCAGGACTTGATGCTCCAGCCAGCCAGGGGGGCTTCAGGGATGACACACAGGTCTGCCCCGGGCTCTAGGCCCAGGACCTCTCAACCACAGCTTCCTCCTCTTTCCTAAGAAGGGCATGACAACGAGATGTAGGGCAGGTACAGTGTGAGCAACACTCACCAGCTGCGGGGCCACAGTCACCTCATGGCCTACAGGGCACTGCTCCTTCCAGCACTCAGCCAGGGAGCACCCACCATGGTCACAGGCAAAAAGCTGGTTTCCTGGGCCAGGGAGATAGCTCAGTGGCATAAGCACCTGCCTGGCAAGCGCAAGGTCCTGAGTTTGATCCCTGGTACCACAAAAAAATAAAAGCCCCTTCTCAAGGGCTGCCTGGGGTGTGGCTCTGAGGGACACTGCTAGCCTAGCCTAGCATTCAAGAGGCCCTGGGTTTGACCCCCATTACAAAGAAGAGGGGGAAAATACCCTCTAAACTCAAAAACAAAACATGGTTTCCATGGGAACCTCTGCTACCCCACAAGCACCAAACACTAGAGAGCATGCGGAGTCAGAGAGAAAGACAAGTCCCTCCCAGCAAGCCTGGATCAGAGTACCACGTGGGCACCAGGTGGCTCCCTGCTGCACAGAGCATTAGAAAGACCACAGGGCCCCCAAGGAGGAGGAGGGAGACAGTGTACTCAGCCCCCAAAACTCTTCACTCCTACTCAGTAAAATCAGGCCTGACCAACTCTACCACCCAGCGGGCTTCACGGAAAAGCCTGTTGCTCCCCAGGAAACCCACCTGATTAAATGTGGCCTGACCCAGAGCTGGGCCTGGTAGTGCATTTCTGTAATCTCAGCACTTGAGAGGCTGAGGCAGGAGGATCACAAGTTACAGCCCAGCCTGGACAACTTAATGACTTATTGAAA